TATATATATATATAGTTCTCCGATTACCTTTTTCCTTGAAAGTTGCACAACACATGAGGATATAGGAATCTTTTTAACATGTAAGAAAAATAACGTTATTGTGCAATAACAAACATTCCTAGACTTCCATGTCTGGGCCGCTACAAATAAGTCATGGGATATGGAAGATTTGCGCCTTCTCCGTTTCTTCTCGCTCCTTTGTCTTCTGGCTTTTTTTTTCTTTCTGTGTGTCACAATGTCTGGTGAAGGAGTTTTGTTTGCCGATAAGTGTGCTCTCTTGCCCTTCTCAAGGCCATGAGTGATATGCGGGCAAGGGCCTGTAAACCGGACACGAAGCGCAAACCAGTGGGTGAAGATTCTGCATGAGAGATGAGTAGAAAAAGGCATGTGCCCTAGTTGAAAACCGGTGAGTGTGAGGATCAAGCTGGGTCTTTGGATTTTTCTCGTGGTCCCTTCATGTATATATGTATGTATGTATGTGTGTGTGTGTGTGTGTGTGTGTGTGTGTGTGTGTGTGTGTGTGTGCGTGTTTGGTAGAACAACCTCTCTGAAGATCATAAGTTCACTCAGGTCACGGGTTCGAAACCCCCCGTGTGAATGGTGAGATACTCAAATATTTAGTATACCTAAGGATGATCGGAGCTCGTCTAATAGCCTTCGGCCATTCCTTTAGGGTTTCGATGCCTTTCTCCTTCATCCTTCCCTCCTCCTAGTGCAGAATCTCGGGCTCCATAATTTCTCAAGAACCGTTTGGTTTGATTCCTACTTTGAAGTTTTATTCCTCTCCACAATGGACATAGAAGATATACTAGAACGTTGCATTCTGGATCCTACGATTTTCCTACAATCGGCCTCCAACCACAAGTGGGCTACGGGTAAATTTCTCCTGACCTTGTTTTTTACAAAGATCATCTTAAGATGGGTCTCCGACCGCCATTTTGTCAGGAGTTGCGATCGATTTTTAATCCCTATGGGATCATTTCTGCCCAAGTCCTTTCTAATTCGATCACCGTTTTTTGCTGGAGGATGAAAATTTCATGGTAGATCAAACTCTTCAACCAGTTCTTTTCCTTTCGGATCGGTCGTGATGGGTATATTCAATTCATAGTCAGCACTAAGATTCAATTGTTGGGATTGAGAACAAGGTGAAAGACTAAAATGCGAAGTTCTTGGTTGCCTCATGTGCAGGCAATTGAGGAATCCACACTTCCCCAACAAATTGTGAGATGAAGCAAGTGAAGACCTTGCTAGGGAATGTTCGAGATCACAGGGCACTGATTAAGGGTCAGCGCCTCTCTTTGTCTCATTGCCTCGACCCCAATGTGATCGAACGCATGATTCATCTAAATGGTGTTAATACCCTAACCATTTATTTTCCATGTTTTTTCATGTCTAAAGTCCTCTCCACTATGTTAAATCATTGTAATAATGATTATACAATTCATCATGGTACAAGATATCCGATACGTCTTCGACAATAGTTATTATTTGGCATGAATCTTGAAGTGATTAGCACGAATCGAGGAACTTTTTTTAGCAAGAAACATTCAAACTCTATTTAAAAATCATCCAACATCCGATTTCATAAAATTATAGTCAAACTGATCGACTCAACGAAATAAATACAATGACACCAAAGTTGATCCAATTCGAGTCAAATCAAGTGTGGATCAAGCCATTGAACCACTTTTGTAAGTTTTGGGTGGTTAATTGGAAGGTCATATATATTCCAAATCTGACAAGCTTCTGATTAAATTGAGCGTCTTAATGAGACAAATTAAACGAGCTCAAGATCGCTTAATTCCGACATCTTTGGGACAATTAAATGTCCACCAACATCTTTTGATCGAGGGAATCTCCTTGGATTGTCCGATGAAGAGGTTCAAATTCTTTTTTTATTTGCAAGAAGGCCTTTCCTATACTTTATTAATAGAGCCCTAACTCCTTCATGAAGAGGGACCTAGGCTTTGAACCACGAGAAGAGTTCGACCTAGAGATGGTTCATGCATAAAGAACTATATTTTAAGTTTCGTTCTAAAACAAGGACCCGACGAATGCTTCCTGATCCTGTAGTCGTTGGAAATCATCGACCACCGCTAGTTGGCTACCTTGATTGCCTTTAGCCACCCCATGCTTGTTGTAACAAAATATCTTACAAAATTATGACATACATTGTGGAATCTTGACACACGTTTCAATGTCATGAATGCAACGACACACCCCGAAAATGGGGTAAGGATGCAACCAAGAGCCATTGTAACAACATAACTCGAATACAGTGCAATTGTGCACCCTACAAAGGTTTCAACGATGCAACCCGAAGATGGTATAACACCGCGCCTTGAATATGGTTCAACGAGGTGCCCCGTATATGGTTCAACGATGCACTCCAAAGGCAGTGTAACGACACACCCTAAAGACGGTGTAATAACACAACACGAATATAATGCGGTGACGCGCCCCTCATAAGGTAAAACAATGCATCCCGAAGATAGTGTAACAATGCACCTCACAAACTGCTTACAACAGTCGTACTCTTAATGTGGTGACTTTATTTAGACTCATAAAGTTCTCTCATTATATTTCACCATTATGACATACATGACTCACAACCCATGCAGCTCCCAACTCTAACCTCTACTGGTCACAGACGTTATTACAACTCACCACTACGATATATGTTCCCAACAACGACTTACATGGCCAACAGCTCATGTAGCTCTCGCCTCTAGCCTCTGCAGCTTATGACTATTATTAGAGACCACAACTAATGCGTATATGAATAACTATGACCTATGTGGCTCACTGCATCTGTGGTCAACGGACTTTATCACAACTCACCATTAAGACCTATAAGATCAACTATTAATTATGTGGTAAACATCTTATACAATTCCTAACTCTATCCTCTATAGCTTACTGACGTTATTACAACTCCCCGGTATAGCCTATATGACCAACTACGACGCGGATCAAGTCATGCAACTCCCAACTCCAGCTTTTTTGACCTACGAATGCTCACAACTCCCAACTATAGTTGTTGGGCTAACTGACACATATGAAGCTATCTTATACAGCTACATAACTAACTACTGCGGATCAAGTCATGCAACTCCCAACTCCAACTTTTATGGCCTACGAACGCTCACAACTCCCAACTATAGTTGTTGGGGCTAACTGACACTCTTGAAGCTATCTTATACAGCTACATAACTAACTACTGCCACAGTTTTCAGCTATCACCTCTACGACAAGCTGGCACTATAACCATCATCTAAAACATTCATGACAAACTATTACCTCAACAGAAATTGACTACAACCTTCGTGACTCATTACAACTATTATTGTTAAATTATTATTGTATGTCAACATTCTAATTTTATTTTCTCTATATCAAAAGGAGAGTGGGCATGTACTTAAAATTTCTCAGTGGATTATTTCGACCGGCTAGTCCCCATGATTTCTTAGGTAAGAATATGAATAATGATTCTTTTCGTTTATCTATGTTAGATCCCGTACTATGTTAAGACACTAATTTATTACTCTACCACTACGAATTTTCTAACACGCAACAATATATATAAACGTACTTTCACAATACTCACTTAGATGATATTTATCCTCTAAATGGTGCAATGAGCTTATTCTTGTTTTCATAAAAAATATTCTTCCAAGTAATAACATCTAATGCAACTTTAACCATCCATTTCTAGTCACCCATGTAGACCGGCTCATCAAAAGTGATACGGATGAAATTGAAGTTATTTTTTACATGACAGCAGCGGCCTATTCCATTTGAGTGCAATTTAATGAACTTGGCTATTAAAGTCATGAGCTGTTTATTACATGATAAAACATCATATTATCATATATATATATATATACATATATATATATATATATATATACATATATATATATATATATATATATAATTGCCAATAAATAGGAGCATGAGTCGTAATTATTAAATTGTAAATATATTTTTGGAGTCATTAACTCATACACACCAACATAACTCTAAGTTATGACAAAGC